TATATATATATATATATATATATTTATATGTATATATATATATGTGTGTGTATTTATCTATATACATATATATATATGTATATATATATATGTATCAGACGGTTCAAAGGGAATGGTGGCAGTTCGGTAACGGATGAACTGCCAGTGTTGTATTCTCGAACCTTCTAAACCTCAATACACTACTGATCTTTCAGTCACGGAAAGTAGCCTTTGTCTGTGAACGCGTGTATATCTTCGTGCATGTACTTAAGTAAAAATACGAGTTTCGAACTCGAACGTCTACTGAGAAGTAGTGGCTTGGAGCGAGTGAATTGCCCTTATTTTTCTATCACTCTGATAATTATGTATGTATATGTGTATATTTATATATATATATATGTGTGTGTTTGTGTGTGTGTGTGTGTGTATGTATGTATATATGTATGTATGTATGTATGTATATGATTTTCAACGCAAACAGACTACACAAAGTGGGCTGGTGGTGTGCAGCTCGTGAGTGAGTGGGTGATCCACTAGCTGCATGTTAATATTAGTTGCACTATTGTACAGCGTAGCTTTGTTCTTGAACTACCTCGTTAACTGTTTAACTCTTTACTCGTACCTCAATACACAGAGTGGTGTTGTTCTGTGAAGACGTGACGCGGAATAGTGCGAATGAGGTCACCGAAATTACCGCCTGTTACGAGGAACTGACGAAAGAGAACAAACCCAAGGCATTCATCCATTGGGTGTGCAATCCAATCCCTTGCGAGATCAGGTGAGGGGATAGTCCTACCAGTACATTTAATTGTGCCGTAGTGGGATGTGTGGTGGTGTGAGGTTTGTGCGTCCTTTGCTGGACTGTTTGTGTGGTGGGTGGGTGTTTGTGTGGGTCTGTCTGAAGGCGAATGGTGTAAGTACATGTCGGAAGACCAAGCAAGTACCAAGCCTGCATTCATTCATTGGGTATGCAACCCAATCCCATCTGGGCTCAGGCGAGTGCATGGTCACATCACAACATTCAAGTAAGCAGTGGTGTGACGTGTGTGTGTGTGTGAAGTGTGCATGCCTTTACCTTGCATATACCTGTAGTGTGATGTGTGTGTGTGTGTGTAAGTGTGTATGTCCTTTACCTTGCATATACCTGTAGTGTGATGTGTGTGTGTGTGTGTAAGTGTGTATGCCTTTACCTTGCATATACCTGTAGTGTGATGTGTGTGTGTGAAGTGTGTATGTCTTTACCTTGCATATACCTGTAGTGTGTTATGTCTGTGTGTGTGAAGTATGTATGCCCTTACCTTGCATATACCTGTAGTGTGATGTGTGTGTGTGTGTGAAGTGTGTATACCTGTACCTTGCATATACCTACGCCTCTGACCACATCTGCGTGGTAAGTGTGCGTGTGTGTCCGAAAGGATTTGTTTTTAGTAGGTACATGCCAGCGAGCAAGCCTCAAGTCTTCATTCATGGGGTTGAGTGTGCAACCCAATCCCATACGAGACTGGGTGTGCGGGTATTCGAAACTGTCCTGTTTGTATATAATCTGCACCTGCCTTTAGTCAGTGCATTGTAGTTTTGCGTGTGGGGTTTGTTATGTCGGATTTACGACATTGTGCTTTAGTGTTCACAATAGTGAACGGAATCACAAGTGTGTCATTGTTATGTCGGATTGTACGTACGACCTTCTGCAATGACGTACAGTCGGACAACCCCCTATCTATTTCCTTAAACGCGTCAGGATATAATGTATCCTGCATCAGGTTATAAGATATTCTGCATCAGGTTATAAGGTCTTCTGCATCAGGTTATAAGGTATTCTGCATCAGGTTAAAAGGTATTCTGCATCAGGTTATAAGGTATTCTGCATCAGGTTATAAGGTATTCTGCATCAGGTTATAAGGTATTCTGCATCCGGTTATAAGGTATTCTGCATCAGATTATAAGGTTTTCTGCATCAGCTAGTCGTGGTCTTATGATCTGTCTATAGCCTCTCCCGTCAGATTGTACGACCTTCTGCAGTGGCGTACAGTCAGATAGTACCCCATCCAACTCCTTAGATGTCAGGTTATATAAACATCCAGTATCAGGTTAAGAGTGAACTTATAATACGACTACATCCTCTTCTGTCAGATTGTACGACATTTTGCATCAGCTAATAGTAGACTCATAACACGACTATGTCCTCTTCTGTCAGATTGTACGATATGTTGCATTAGCTAATAGTGGGCTTATAACACGACTATATCCTCTACTGTCAGATTGTACGACATTTTGCTGCGTGACGATGGTGACGAGGACGGCAAGAACTTCCTGAAGAACGTCAACAGTCAATCACTTATTGTGAAGCCCAATGCTCTAGTCGACCCCAGTGTGCGAGATGCTCCTGTAGGCACCCAATACCAATTCGGTAAGTTTTCACCGATCTATATACGTATATAATACCACTTCTGTAAGGTTTCACCGATCTATTATAATACCACTTCTATAAGGTTTCACCGATCTTAATACGTGTATAATACCACTTCGGTAAGTTTTCACCGATCTATATATGAGTATCATACCAATTCGGTAAGGTTTTACCGATCTATATACGTATATAATACCACTTCGGTAAGGTTTCACCGATCTATATACGTATACAATACACTTCGGTAAGGTTTCACCGATCTGTATACATATATAATACCATCTCGGTAAGGTTTCACCGACCTATATACGTATATAATACCACTTCGGTAAGGTTTCACCGATCTATATACGTATATAATACCAATTCGGTAAGTTTACACCGATCTATGTGCGAGAGGCACATTTAGGCATCCAACACCAACCCGGCATGGGTCGATGTTCTTCATGCATGAGACTGTATCGTTTGTGTTAATGTTTCTCATCCACGCTGTTATGAATATGTTGTGTGTACGTATGCTGTGAGTACATATGTTGTTTATACAGTGTGTATGCCATCGATGCAGACGTATCCGCCCCACACAATGATAGACCCCACTGTACTCGTCTGTACATGATACAAAAGCGTGCAAATGAAGTTCAGCGTCGGCCCTGAAATCAGTATACAACGTATTTCCATCATACTGTCATACTGTCATGGTCAAAGAGGTTTGTTTTTACATAGACTATTCGTCGGCTTTGGATCCGTATTATACGCATGTCCCGTTATATATGTAAGCTCGATCATACTACGTTGCATATTGATGCAGCGTATCGAAGTCGGTGTGCAGTAGGCTCTCCTTGTGAGTACACAGTAGTCCATACATGACTTGTTATTGGTTGCAATTTCTTCTCCTATATTCTGCCATACATATATATACATATTTATATATATATATATACATATATATATATGCGCATATTATAAGTGATACATATGGTTGCCAGTCCCATACTATAATGTATCTCAGTGTGCGAATAGCTGCTGTAAGCACCCGCGTGTTTGACCCAATTGTGACTGATTCGCCAATACCTGTCAAGCATATTGGCTCGGTGGAAGTAGAGTGTGTGGCCGACTCTTGTTATGAATCTGAATCTGCAATACGACGACCAATGAAACTAAGTGTATTGTTTATTCCTGCTACGGCGTTCGGGTACCTTTGTGTGTTTGTACTTGTATACTACCTGCAATCTCCCGTACCGGAGATAGGACCACACCGACTAACAACCCTTCCAATCTGTGTCAACAGAGCGTGTGGGCTACTTCTGCAAAGACCCTGACTCCACAGCCGACCGCCCGGTCTTCAACTTGACTGTCAGCTTGAAGGAGGACGCAGGCAAAGTTTAGTATGCTCGAGAATAGCTGTTTAATTTGAATTATTTTGACTATAGTGCATGGCTTGAAAGAGACCACAGGCAAAGTGTAGTATGCTCAATAATATGTTTAGCCTTTTAGAGTGAAGGAGATCGCCGGGGACGTTTAAGTTTAACGTATTAAAGAACTCGGCTGTCAGCGTGAAGGAGGACGCGGGTATTTTCAGCATGTACCAGGTTCTTGGTTCCTCTCTAAACATCCCTATATATATGTGAGATAGATACCTAGACTTTAGCCTATTTCGAATTCCCAGTGGCTCCGAACATTGTTGGTAATGGACAATAAACAGGGAGCGTTAAGCATGGTCGACGACTCTGTTACCTCGCATGATCAGCAGCTCAGAGCGCACGGGAACTAGTATGTTCAAGGATCTTGGTCGCCTTTAGAACGTTCCTAATTATTCGAAATAAACATCGGCATATTCACGAACCTTGGATTGTCTCCGGACGTTTATAATGCTTGGTACCGAGCAAGTTGAGTTTGGCGTATACGAGGACTCTGGTGTTTCGCTTGATCATCAGCTTCAAGGAGAACGCAGAAAGATTGGACGTGGCTTATTTGTGTATTCCTAGTTTGATATCCATTGACCTTCCTAAACATCGGTACGTTGTGAGTGCAAGGAACACACATGGCAAACCCCTAAACCTAAAACCCGATAATAAACAGAAAGACAGGGGGAATTTAATATTTTTCCTGTAAACAATCAGCAATTACCCGGCGACGGAGTGTAGCATGGTTAAGGACATTCGATCATTCTGATTGTTGCTTTGAAGGCAGACGCAGATATCCTCCTGGCTTGAAGTTGCAACAGACCGAGGTATATAAAACTAAGGCATCGGTTTTTCTGTCTACTACACTCCATTTGGCCCGATATTGTATGTGAGAGGCGTACAGAGGAATATAAATCTAAGGTGTGGTGTTTTCCTGTCCTTCTTCACTCCAACCGAATCTGATAGTGTTTGAGATATATATAGAGAGGGCGACAACCAACAAATGTGCTACACTATTTTATTAATTTACATGGATGAATAAGTCTTGCCATTGCAATTATACTTTGCCGGACGCGAGTTTTGATTGTCAACTAATATTTCGTGTATAGGAAGCTTTGGTTTTTGCGATTCGCAAGTGGTATGCATAAAGCGCCATCTACCATTAGCAACGACAAATAGGTCCCCAACTGACAGCAACATACTATTCTTTCGAATATATACGGATATCTTAATGTAAACCCGATGTGTAAAATCCTCAAATTAGTTTCATTAGCAACGACAAATAGGTCCCCAACTGATAGCAACATACTATTCTTTCGAATATATATGGATACCTTAGTGTAAAACCCACAAATTAGTTCCCATCTACCGCTAGACACTGTGTTCGTGCTACCAGGCAAAATAGCTCTTGTCTGTGGCTATGTGGTTTCGAGATGACACAGGCGAAACAGCTCCGACTGTTAGTCTGTTACCAAAGCATTGTCTCATAAGAAAGTTCCATCCCACTCTCCCACTTACTCTTTTAAAGTGCAAGTGTACCCGATTGCACCCGCAGGCTCCCGCTCCATATATTTTTTGTCAACATTTATTGCAATAGAGGGTGGGCCATAATCTGTGGTCAGATTTAAGATCCATAGTTACATACTGGATATGTTATAGAGCTATATTGTTCTGTGGAAGGCTACAAATTCAGATAACTTTTTCAAAAACTTTCCGAGATCCCAAGGCCCAAGCCCAACGAGCCCACGGCCCCTCGAGCATCAAACCCATCAAGATATCTCTTATCTAAGGCATCTATGTACCGAACTGCGAATATGCCAGCTGGGGGCCGCGGGGCCTTTTTTATCTGTATTTGCCTTGGTCCTCTTGGGCTTGGAGTACAATAATAAAGTATTCACAACCAACCCGATAATCGGTGACTGTAATCGGTGACTGGTTGTCGCAGTGTAGGACAGTAGTCTGTAGGGCGTAGGCTGGCATTCTAGAAATAAATAAAGAGTATTTCGAGACAGTCCGCCGATCGTTTACGTTCAACGTTTAATGCCACTGCAAGTCTGCTACCCGAATAGACGTTATTTATGTACAAAGTAGTTGGTTGGCCTAAATGCCCATATCCTTTATTTTTATAAAATCGCTGTATATATATATATATATAAATATATATACATCAAGAGACCTAAGACAATATTTATATATATTTACATATATATATCGAAAAGTGTTCAGTTCTCATTCTACATTGTAGTTGGTGCATAGTATATGGTATATACGAGTGTGTATTCCGATCCCATAGATATATTGTAGTCTGTAGATACATAGTATACTCCAGTATATATATATATATATATATCGTGATACCCGAGTGTACCGCAGCGCAGTCAAACTAACCACCACACCCTCTAACGTATATCACCCACGCGATCGACACTCACCCACAGTCACGATGGCTGAAAGCGATTTCTTGAAACAAGTTGTATCGGGCATCCGTATGTCTGCCAAGAAGCAACAAGAAACATTCCACAATACAAAGCACAATATTGTTGTACCCGTGGCGAGTGGGGGGGGCGTTGACGAGAACGAATCAACAGACATTGAATACAAGATTAGCGTCTACACGGGAGATATTCCAAATGCCAGCACCAGCGCAAAGGTGTTCATCACGTTGTATAGGTATGTGATTAGTGTTGTTACTTCACCGTGGCTATGCGAATGGGATTGAAGTCAGGCCAATGCATACACTTGGGGGGTGTTATTGTATGGCAATGGTCTGAGTCCTCGAGGTGTGTGTGCAACCGATGGCTGCGATATTTTAAAGCTGAAAGCGAGTGAGGCCTTGCATAAACGTGTCCTTTTACAACGGAAACCTTTTCAATGGTCATACTCAAGTTGGATTGCTTGTAGAGATACATTTGCGTAACCGGATACATTTCAATGAGGCTAAGTCCACTATCATTTCCACAGTTTGATATTAATTGACCAGGCGACATTCTGAAAGGCTTCTACATATTTTACTCACACCTGTTCACGAATACATCATATGCACAATGATGTGTACACCATAGTGAAGTTGGTATGCATGTAATAAAATATATGCACATATATGTATATCGTCATT